AAAAAGTTTGTATTTTTTTTTTTGTTTGTAGAATTTGTGTTCAAGAATGAAATGTGCTTTTTTTTTTTTTAACTCCTAACTGTTAACTTTTTTGTTTTTTTTTAATTAGATAAATTTTGTAACAAATTAATATCATTTGTTTTTTTTTATATTAGATAAATTTTATAACAAAATAATCTAATTAATATAGATAATAAAACAATTAATATCCGATAAATGTCAATCCATCTCGATTCGTTATGAATGTTTTTGTGAAAAATCAATTTCAAGCTTGAAGCATATTTAGGACGTTTTGTCAAAGCCATTTTGTAGTATATATAAAATATATATTTTATTATCTATTTAATTTTATATTTATATATATTATATTAATAAAATTATTATATGATGTCACCATTTAAAATATTTATGTTTTAAGCTCTTATATGGCACTTCAATTATATTTTTTTTCCTTTCTATTAATAATAATATTATTCAATAACTTAATTTAAGAGATTAATATTTTAAACTCATTAAAATGTTCACGTAATACCCTAGTAAGTTTTTTCTTTCTTTTTTCCTTTTTTTCCCTTTTTCTTTCTTTTTTGTGTTTATACCTTTTTAATTAAATTAATTTTTTAAGAAAAATACAAATAGAATGTCCACGTGGTATCTTTTGACTTGTTTGTCTTTTACCTTTTTATATTTTGTTATTAAATAAATTTTGTAGCAAAAGATATCAATTGATAAAAATATCAAAATAATTCATGTCTAAGGGATTTTTATTCATCCCAATTTATTAATGAAAGATATTTTTATATTTATATAAAATAGATTTGTAACTAAACATTAAGAATATTACTATTTACAATTATTTTTATTTAATTTTCTATATTTTTTCTACTTTAGTAATTGTTATTCCTATTAAAAATATAAAATATATATTTTTCCCATTCATTAAATTTGTAGCGAACATTATTGTGTACGAACAATTGAAGAAATTAAACTTGTGACGAAGGTCAGGCCAAATTTTGATGTGTATATATATTTTGCAATTTACTCCTTTTTTTTTTTTGTTAGAAATACTGGAATTAAGAGAAAAATAGAAAGATAAAAACCAAAAAAACTAATAAATTAGAAAAAAGAAGGAGGCAAGTGAAATATTATTGAGGAAGAGTAGAAAAAAAAAAAGAAGAAAAAGCTGAACGGCACCAAAAATGTAGAGGGAGAGATGAAAATTTGTATATAGGTAGGTGTTAACATGGCATCATATAAAAACCAGAAACGACTTCCCTTTTTTTTTATTAGACTCCTTTTCTAATAAGATAAAATTTGTAAAAAAAAAAAGGTTAATAAATGTTTGGATGATAAAATAACTTATATTTCTTGGGTTTTGATTTTATTCGATTCAATATGTGTAAGTTTTTAAAAAGTTCAGGATTAGGTTAAATTTTTTAAAATTGTAATCAATTCAAAGGTGGATTTAAGGTATTTTGTCTTACCCAAATATATATAGTTATATTTTTAATTAATTAATTATTTTTATATTTATATATGTATTATATTAATTAAATTATTATTTAATATCTTAATTTAATAAAAATATTATTATTAATTATTCATAATTAAGATGTAATTTATCTATCTATCATTATATATTAATCTTACCCATTTTGATTTTTGTTTAACTCTCACTTAAGGTGTCAACGTGACACCTTTTTTTTTTTCAACTTTTTTAATTTTTAAAAAAATTTTATTTGAATTTAGATAAAATTTGAAAAAAAAAAAACATTATATGTATCCTTATGGTATCCCAATTTGGTTTTTTTTTCTTTCATTTTTTTTGTTTTTTTTCATTAGTTAAATTTTGCAACAAAATGTGTCGATAAATAAAGATGATAAAATAATTTATATTTGATGATTTCGATTTAACCCAATCCAATAGAGACATAATTTTTTTAAATCTAAATCAAATTGGGTCAAATTGAGTTTTTAAAAGAAATAAAATCGGGTTGCTGACAAGTTAATGGTGTTTTACCTTGACCCCTCTAAAAGCACATATAAAAGTTATATATTTTAATATCCATAATATAAATTTTGTACTTTTTTTACTCCATATATCACCTCCTTTAACTCATTTTCTTTTTTTTTTATTCTCTCCATATTTAAAAAATAATTTTTTTAGATTTATGGTGGGATTCATTTAATATTATTGATAAAAAAATATTTTTTATTTATCCTTCTTTTGTTTTTGTTTTTTTTAGATTTTTAAAACTTTTTTAGTTTTTTTAATTAAAATGAAATTGTAACGAAAGAATCAATGTAAGTTTCTACATGAGACTTTATTTCCATTTTTTCTTTTTTTTTTTTATAATCTAGATCTTTCACATCCATTCATACAATAAGTCTGTTCATCCATGCATCTTCACATAAAAAGGTGCAAAATTTTAAGAGTAACAAAATGCTCAAGTGGCACCTCTATTAGCTCTTTTTTTTTTTTTTTGTTCTTTTGGTTTTTGCCATTTTTGTTTTTTCTTTTTTAATTAGATAAAATTTATAACAAAATAATCCATTATGGTAAAACAACTACTACCAGATGAATTTCAATTTTTTTCAATTCGTTATAGGCGTTTTTGTGAAAAGTCAATCTTAAGTCAAGTTGGATCAAATTAAAAATAAAATAAAATAAAGATGGGCTTGAAGTGGATTTAGGATGCTCTATCAAACCTATCCCATGGTGTATATAAAAATAATTTTTTATTATATATTTAATTTTATATTTGTGTATATGTATTATATTAAAAAGTTATTATTTGATGCCTTTATTTAAAATATTCATATTTTATGCTCTCACATAACACCCTAATGATTAGGATGAGAAAAAAATCTAATAAATCAAAACTGATTTGAAATCGTAGTGTGCAATTTGATTCAAATCTTTTTTTTTGTTTGGATTAAATTCAGATATTAAATGTATATATATTATGTTTGGATTAGATTTTACATCAAAAAGTAAAAAAATCGAGAAAAATTAAATCAAATTATATATTTTTATTAGCTTTTATATATAGTTTTAATTTTTTATAAAATAAAATAATTATTTTATACTTAAATCTATTTAAATGTTAAAAATCATATTAAAACAATAAATAAAAAATTAAAATTTAAAAGCAATGAATCGAACCAAATCGATTGAATGCAATTTTGATCGGATCAAGTGAAAATTCGATTTAGATTCGGATTGAATTTTAAAAATTTATAATTTATATATTATCCGAAAAATCGAATTGAATCGAATCCAATATAAACTTTTATCACCCTCATCCAATGATATCTTTTTTTTATATATATTTTTTATTAATAAAATTATTATTTAATATCTTAATTTAAAATATTAATATTTTAAACTCATTGAAATGTCTAGGTAGTAATCCAATAAATTTGTTTCCTTTTCTCTTTTATTTTGTTTTATTTTATTTTTTATATACTTTTTATTAAATTAAATTTGTTAAAAAAAGACTAGTAAAGTGTCCACGTGTGTCCATGTGGTTTTTTTTTTTTACTTTTTTGTCTTTTGTCTTTTTTTTGTATTTTTAAATCAAATAAAATTTTATAACGAAATGTATCAATTGATAAAGATATCAAAATAATTCGTATTTAGTGGATTTTTATTTGTTTCGATTTGATAAAAAGATATATATTTTTTGTATTTATATAATATAGATTTGCAACTAGACATTAAAAATATTGTTATTTATAATTATTTTTATTTATTTTTAATATATTTTTTATATTTTAATAATCATTATTCCTATTAAAAATATAAAATATATATTTTATCATTCATTAAATTTATAATTAACATTATCATGTACGAACAATTGAAAAAAATTTAAAATTGCGACAAAGCTTTGGCTAGACCTGAAAATTTATGTTTTCATATCGTATCGTATTTGACACATATAATAACATAAATTATTGAAATATGAACACGACACGACACAAATTATAAAACATGTTTAAATCTTAAATATGGATACGACACATTTATTATACGTATTATACGTGACACGGCACGATTAACACGTATACAATTAATTCATTTAAAAGTGATACGAATAATATGGATATATATGAATAAACACGACTAATATAGATATATATGAATAGATACGACTAATACGAATATATATAAAAATACGATTAAAATAATAAATAATTATAAATTTTTCATCATTTATAATTTAATAAATTTGACATATTAATAATATAAAAAGTACCTAATATTAAAAAATAAAAAAAATTTAATACAATTTAATATGTATTTAATATATATATTTAAAATTTTAATATATATTAGATAACTATATTAATTTTTAATATCAAATTTAAAATGATAAATTATTAATAATTAAAGAATAAAATAATAATGTATAAGACTAATATTTATATTTATATTATATTTATATTATTAATATAAAAAATAATTTTATAATAATTATTAAATGAGTATCATAATTAAATATTTAAAATAATTTTTATATGATATTAAATAGCTAATTAATTATCATAATTAAAAAATTAAAATTAAAATAATCTTTATATATTTATATTAACTTAAAATAAATATAAAAAATATTTTAAACGTATTAAACATATTAAACGTATTAATCATGTTAAACGTGCATTGATATGATAAAATTAAATTAAATGTGTTATTTATGTCGTGTCATGTTGATAGACATGTTAATACGTATAAATTATAAATTATGAATTTTAACATGAATAAATATAAATATATATTTTTAAAATACATATATGATGTTTTTCTTATTATCGTATCTTATATAAAATTATCATATCTAGTTTTGGTCAATTTTTAGTGTATATATATTTCACAATTTACATTATTTTTTTAAGTAAAAAATAATAAAATTAAGAAAAAAATAGCAATATAAAAATAAAAAAAAAAGTGAAAAAGAAGCGTGAAATATTTGCGAGGAAGAGTAGGAAAAAAAAAACAAACAAACAAACAAACAAACGAGGCCAGGGATGCAAGGCAGTACAGGGAGAGATGAAAATTTGTGCCGCCTCCAATTAAAAAGACTTGTTTCTCCTTTGGGTTTCTTTGTACCCACCCACCAGCCTCCTGCCTCCCACCAAAGTCATCAACTGCGTTCCATGGCTGGACTCATCTGAAATTTCGAAACTGCCCTTAGATCCATTGTGCTTTACTTTTTCAAAAATTTTCTCAACAAATAATTTCCCTGAGCTTCGATCTGATTTCAACTGAAAAAAAACGAAAATGGCAACAGCGAAAACGGGACGGTCCACACGACCTACGGCAGCTGCGATAGAAAACGGCACGAACATAGATGAAGGCCTCAACGTTTTCAAATCCGAAAAGTTCGACGCCGATGCTTTTGTTCAGTCCAAGTGTTCTCTCAACGACAAGGTTTCTCTCTCTCGCCATTTTTTCTTTTTAGTAAAAAAAAAGAATTTTTGATAAGTTAATAATTACCAGGAAATAAGGCAATTATGTTCCTATCTGATGGATTTGAAGAGAGCCTCTGCTGAGGAAATGCGTAAAAGTGTGTATGCTAATTATTCCGCTTTTATCCGGTAATCACCCTTCCTCTGCTTTACTCCTCGTTGTTGCTTAATCTAATTAAGTACTTGTCGTTTAAGACCAGAAAAAAGAGATCATTTCCTCTGCTCTACCTACTAAACTAGTGTTTTTTTTTTTTTTTTTTTACAAAGAGGGGACATGGAACATTAGTTTTTCCAATGCTAAATGCTAACCTCAGCCTTTTGCCTTTGCTTCTTTAGCGTATACTTACCAAATTTGTTGCAGTTCTCATAGTTAGCGCTTCCTATTGATCCAATTCATTTGATTCTTCCTTATCTCATTTCAATTAAGGATTCAATTTGCTACATCTTGCGAACGAGAAAAATGTTCCTCCCCCCGAACACGAAATCACAAGCCCTTCCTTTGGTTTATAAGCTCCCAAAAATCCCATACTATCATAATTGCTGTTAGAGCAAACCATATGGGCTTTATCTTGTTTGGTTGTTTGCTTTTCTTAAGGTTTAGGCTTTACACCAAACACTGGTTGGGAGCAAAAGAATAGTACACTGGGTTGAATTCAGACGAATGGAATCCTATCCTATTGCATACTTGATAATTTCACTCCATTATTACAGCTTATTGCTAAGGTGGCAGCTTTGTCTGATTTTCTTAATGTATTTTAATTGTGAAAAAAAATAAAGTGAAAAAGTATTATTGAGTTATCTGGTGTAAGTATCCTGGTCTGGATTGCATATGCGCATAAATGTTTGTATATTTACTGGAAAAGTGGAAAAAGGGGCAAGAGAAAGGTTGTTTTCTAGCAACCTTCTATTTGTTTCAAAAGCCTAGTAAATACCATGTCATTTGATAGAATTACATAGATCGAAGAACCACATCAAGGAACAGATAGAAGACATTATCCCATAAGAGCCATGTGCTTTAGAAGTGATCACACTGATTTCAGTTTCTTGAAACTTAGCCTGCAGAGATATTATTTGCAAATAGATTCACTTTTCAAGGGATTTCTGGAGGTGCTTACCTGTGTTAATGGCCCAATACTAATTTCAAAAACAAAGTGTAGTTCTGTTTTTAAAAGAATTTATGTAGCCTGTAGCCTGTGCCCTCTAAAAAAATTTCTATGCTAAATCAAGTTTGAAGCTTTATTAGCTCTTTTCCAAACTCTTTCTCTTCTCATAATTTACAGCATTATGTTGATATCTGTTGCTTAATTGAGAATCGTGGTTTTGTTGGCATTGCATTCATTTTTATACCTTCTCTCTCTCTCTCTCTCTCTCTCTCAGTCACTCACTCACCTATTCATTCACACGCACACACACACACTGAATATTTTTCTGTCAGCTGAAATTTGGTGCCCAATGCGGACAATTCATTTTATGCGCTTTATTTTTATTCAAGGGCTGCAGTTTATATAGATGCAGAGATTGCCATTGATTTTATTGAGGTTACTCGAAAAGGATATTGAAAAGCATGTATTCATTGTTGTTGCATCCAGCAACTAATTTTTTATTTCTGAAGAATTTATATGGAATTGTATATTATATATTTATTTTCAGTATCGGTAAAAACTATTAATGTGGTTAGTAGAAGTTTTAGAGGTGTTAAACTTCAGGATTCAGGTTGGGTGGGGAGTTGAACCTTGGCCTACAATTCTCCAACCTTCAAGGGGTGGGACCTGACCATGAAGCCGAAGGCCCTAAGAGGTGTTGAAAATAAAATTTTTTTGTTGGTTTCCCGGGAAAAGAGGATGAGATGTTAATATGTTTATTTGTTATCGATGATATTAGTGTTTATAAGATGCTGTCATTGTTTAGAAATTGGATGGATCCTGGATTTTAAGACATTTGGGCTTCTTTCTTGCAGCACATCTAAGGAGATATCCGATTTAGAAGGAGAGCTTTCATCTATAAGAAATCTGCTGTCAACGCAAGCGACATTAATTCATGGTTTGGCTGAGGGGGTTCATATAGATTCATTGTCTCCCAAAGTTTCTGAAGGTCTGATTGCTAATGGCTTGTTAAATATTGAAGATAGAGAACCTTCAGATCTGGAGAAATGGTCAGCTGAATTCCCTGATCTCCTGGATGTTTTATTAGCCGAGAAAAGAGTAGATGAAGCTCTGGCAGCCCTTGATGAAGGAGATCGTGCAGTTGCTGAAGTGAAGGAAACAAATTCATTGAGTCCTGCGGTACTTACATCTCTACGAACTGCTATTATAGAACGCAAGCAGAAGTTGGCTGACCAGCTTGCTGAAGCTGCTTGTCAACCTTCTACACATGGTGCTGAACTTCGTGCAGCAATATTGGCTCTTAAAAAGCTTGGTGATGGACCACGTGCTCATACTTTGCTCCTTAATGCACATTTCCAAAGATATCAATATAACATGCTTAGCCTTCGCCCATCAAGCACCTCATATGGAGGAGCGTATACTGCTGCCCTCTCACAGTTGGTGTTCTCTGCTATTGCTCAAGCTGCTAGCGATTCCTTGGGTATTTTTGGTAAGGAACATGCTTATTCTTCGGAGCTTGTAATGTGGGCTACGAAGCAAACAGAGGCTTTTGCCCTTCTTGTTAAAAGACATGCATTGGCTTCTTCAGCAGCTGCTGGTGGTCTAAGGGCCGCCGCAGAGTGTGTTCAGATAGCTTTAGGTCATTGCTCATTGTTGGAAGCTCGTGGCTTGGCACTTTGTCCTGTGCTTTTGAAACTCTTTAGGCCTAGTGTTGAGCAGGCACTTAATGCTAATCTGAAAAGAATTGAAGAAAGCACTGCAGCTTTGGCTGCTGCTGATGATTGGGTGCTAACATATCCCCCGGCTGGTACTCGTCAATCTGTTTGGCCCTCTAGTGCATCCCTTGGTAACACAATGGCATTTCATCATAAATTAACATGTAGTGCTCATCGATTCAATTCAATGGTCCAGGTGAACAGTTTAATTTAATATAAATGTCTTTTGCCCGTCATTTTTTTTTTTACTTGCACTTATTCATTCATACATGAATATAATAATTTTTAATGGTTCTTTTGCTTGATAATTGGATACCAAAATTTGCAACGTTAAATTTTGTGGATAAGATACTAGTAATTTGATGCTTAATGTATCATTCTTTTCTTTGGTTCTACAGGTTTGAAACTTTTTTTTCAGAATATTTAGTGTGGTTTTATTTGGTCTTAATGAGTCTTTGGCACTCTTAAATATTTTGGCATTTCTTCTAATAAAAGAATTCACTCATCTAAATATTTCTTCTCCAATGGTGTGAAGATCCTTTGGGCTTAGGAATCTCACTAGTCTCAATGGGCTTTATGGAATGGTTACGGTTAGATTAAGTATGTTGAAATATGGAAAATAGTAGGATCACTGGATTTTTTAGCTATAGAGATTCTAGTTGTTCACCTGTAAAGGAAAATTAGAGGTGGATGGCATTTGTTCGCAACATTATTCTTTTGGGGATTAGACACAGCCACATAAGAGATTGCACAACCTTCTTCTTTGGGTATGTTACCTAGAGTGGAGAAGAGACATGTACCTAGTTTTATTTGGTCTTGTGGCATCATAATATATGGACCAAGATTTTTTACAGCATTACAGAATTGGAGATTGGTGTCTATAATGTACAGTCCTGATGTATAGCAATGGAGATAAATTATCTTAGGTGTTGACTGATGGGAAGTTGTTTTTACCTATACTTCTTTTAAATGCATTTCAAGAGGTATCATACTGATCGGAGGTTTGAGATTGGTTCAATGGATTAGTATTTGGAAGGTAAAGGCCTGTTGTTTTAGAAACTCCTATTTATTTTGTGTTTCCATGTATGCTTTAGTTATGATCAATTAGAAAATGTAAAAAACCAAAGTTGGGAAATAAAAAGAAAGGTTTCAAAATTTTAACAAAATTTGGAAAACAATTCATAAAAATTTCTCCTCTTTTATGGAAAAATTAAAAACAAGGGTTCCCAAATTTAGTTATTACCCTTATTTCATTGATCATTATAATCGGAAATGAAGATAGAAAATGGAAAAAAAAATTCTAAAACTAAATTGGCCCTATAAAGCTCATCCAAAGGTTCCTCTTTTACTTGGACTGGGTTTTAGGTAAATTTATAATTATGAACAATCTGATTAAGACAAATTGCGTCATTATTGGTTAGTCAGCTATGTGCAAAACTATTGGTGAGAGATTGGACTATTGTGTAATCCATCGTTTCCTACATTGGAAGTTGTGTTATTCTGTTATTAGATTTTTCTTTGTTTTAGGGATGCGTGGATAAACCCATCATGAAGCTTTGAGTTTACTGCCACCATGCTTTATGTAATACATTTGGAAAGGAGGGAACTTATTATTTATTTTTTTTGAATGTTGGGGCTTGATCTCAAAAGGATGAAGGGGCTATGAGGTCTTTTCTTGGTTGGAAGATTCCTTTCCAACATTTCTTCTGTTCCTTTAAGATACTTATCATTACTTTTTGGGGTTTGTTCTTTACCTCTTCTGTTCTAGGGTTCTATGCTCTCTTGTTGCTGTTGTTATTATTTGTTTGTATTATAAATTACTCCTTGATATGGATATGGTTCCTTGCCTGGTGATTTTCAATAAATTACTTACTAACTGCTTCTGTCTTTTGCTTTAATTACTAAATGCTAATTATATCACAACCCCGATATGTTAAATTGCTAATTAGTGTTGTTTGATGACATTTTCTTTGATATGATACTTGTTTAATGATCATGATTGAGGTCTATTAATTCATTTTGGCTACAGGACTGGGTATTTTACTTGGTCTTGTTAGATTCTTTATGGCTACATGACCTCTCTTAAAATATTGTCTATTTATGACCTAAAGTTTGACACGTTAATAGTTGGGGGATTTTAGATTGGTGTTTTATGCATCTCCCTTGGTTCATTTTGTTATGCAATGGCATTATATCGTTTCACTCATTGCGATGTCTATTCTGCTTGCTCTTATAGGACTTCTTTGAGGATGTTGGACCACTATTAAGCATGCAGTTGGGGGGGCAAACACTGGAAGGTTTGTTTCAGGTGTTTAACTCGTATGTAAACATGCTCATAAAAGCATTACCTGGTTCGATGGATGAAGAAGCAAACTTTGAGGCCACTGGAAATAAAATTGTGCGAATGGCTGAGACTGAGGCCCAACAAATTGCATTGCTAGCAAATGCATCATTGTTAGCAGATGAACTTCTTCCACGTGCGGCCATGAAGTTGTCCCCAAGTCAGGCTAGTTACAAGGATGATCACCGTAGAAGAACTTCAGATAGGCAAAATCGTCATCCTGAACAACGAGAATGGAAGAGGCGCCTTGTGAATTCAGTTGAGAGGCTAAAGAATACATTTTGTCAACAACATGCCCTAGATCTCATCTTCACAGAAGAAGGTGATAGCCATCTTACTGCTGAAATGTACATTAATATGGATGGTACTGCAGATGAGGTAGAATGGTTTCCATCTCTAATATTTCAGGTGATTTTATCATTCTTTCTTTTTTTAATATCATTTTATCTGATTCTTGCTGCATTGTTTCTTTTAATTGTTGTTAGTGGCTCAAACCACCTAATATGAACAGTTGTATTTTACTTTGCTGTTCTGACGCAAGATGGAAATTTAGTAAAGTCTATAGGAGGGGCAAGGACAACAGTGCAGATATTATAATATGGCAAGATTCTAAAGCTGAACTTGCTTAGCTAGCTGGCATTCACATGCTGCCACCTAGGTAAAACCTTACCACTTAAGGGGAATGTTTGGTGATCATCAATAAGATGCTTGCTGTCACTTAATAAAGGCTTTATACATGATAGACATTATGAAGATGCTGACTGTCTTCTAATCTTGTCTATTGCAGTGCTGCCTAAGCCATTATCTACTTGCTGCCATTTAATCATGATTATAGCAGGCTGCCTAAACCTTAACTGCCTCTAAATTTAGGAGATTTTTGTGTGTTTGATAGTGTTATGTGGAGAGATGGTAATTAAGTTTGAGTGTTGAATATATGATGCATGCCTAGGGAGTGATTCCCTAAGCTTAAGGGTGTTTTCTGAAGTTATTGTCTTCCTTGATTTCAGTTTTTATGGTTCACCTAAATTCCCTTTGTTTTTCCCTTCCTAATTTTCTGATTGTGTATGTTAACATATCAACAAAGTTTTCAAGTCTTATTTTTCCCATTGTTATTGTTTGAACCTAAACTTTAAGTCCTAGTCTAATGTGTTGTTTATACAGATCCTACATCATGTTCATCTGTGCTTTTAACATCTCATAGCATCTGTCCTGAACTTTAATTCTTGATGCAACAATGGGATGCTATTTTTGTTTTTGTTCTACTTTTTTAATACGTAAGTTAGAAAGTTTTCAGATGCTGGGCAAAACTGTCTTTTTCTGTAATTTTGTTCTTATTAGGGCTTTAGTAATTTATTGTAGTCTAGAGTCACTTGGATTTTCTAAAAGTTTCAATATGTGTTTCCTGGAAGTGAACATGTATGCGGTCATCAACCAGTTTGTTATTTGCAATTTTAATCCTAGTGAATGAGGGAGGAAGTCTTTGAGATCTCCCTATAGATAACCATACAAATCGTCATGTTTTTTGCTAGATTTTGGGTAACAAAACTATGAGGTAATTATCAACACATGGGTGCTTAGAGACTTTTGCTTGCTCACTCTCTCTGTTTTTCTATTATTCTTTCCTTTCTATTTACAGCCTAGGTTTTGGGTGACAAAATGAGCTTTCACTCTTTTTTTTTCATGTGATATTTTTCTTCAATATTTTCTGTACACTCTTTGGTTTGAGAATTCTGATTGCCTTTGTCATGATATATTGTTATCATTCAGGAACTCTTTGCAAAACTAAACAGGATGGCTAGCCTAGCGGCAGATATGTTTGTAGGAAGGGAAAGATTTGCTACGTTGCTATTGATGCGACTTACAGAAACTGTCATCATATGGCTTTCGGAAGATCAAAGCTTTTGGGATGATATTGAGGAAGGACCAAGGCCTTTAGGTCCACTTGGATTACAACAGGCATGTAAACTTGGTATCATTCCTTTTGTGTTACTAAATTTATATTGGATTATTAAAATTGAACTATTTCTTGTACATGTGCAGCTTTATCTAGATATAAAATTTGTCATATGCTTTGCTTCCCAAGGTCGGTACCTATCAAGGAATTTGCATAGAGTTGTCAATGAAATAATTGCTAAAGCCATGGCTGCATTTGCTTCCACAGGGATGGATCCTTATAGGTATGCTATGATACTTTCTTTTCTTCTTATTATTAAAGTTGTGTGCTATTCTCTAATAAATTATTCTCATCCTTAGACTCCCCAACTCTAGAATGCCTATGTTCTGAATGGATGCATAATATTGGTACAACCAATTTCAGAGGTCACTCTTTGTCTGAGTAAGGGAGTAATCCCAAATGTGTGAGAGTGGGAATAATAGTACCATGTTTCCTATCACGATAGGTTTACAGTTTACGCCAAAGATCTGCTTGATCCCTTTACTTTTTTTGTACCAGTTCTAGATGAACTTGTAGTTTAGTTGTTTTTATGTTAGTATTGCATTTTACATGCGGTTTGATTAAATTAAGGTCTAGGGTGGTTCCATAGCAGTCATTTAGTCACTATCCCCCTTTCTCTCTTCTTGGGTTCCTGCTCTTTGTTCAAATTCTGAGAACAGAAAATTCCTTGAAATGTTAGGAGCCACAGTTGCCAATTGGCTCAAATCAGTATCTAAATTGCTGGTTAAAAAGTAATATAACTTTATTCATTCTGCCCCAATTTTTATGCTCAGATTCAACTTTTTTTTTTTCATCATATGTTTCCATCTTTTTATGTGCTTCCAAATTCTACTCTTAAAATTGGGGCCTTTCATGGTTATTTCCTGCACTAATAAGTGTAATCTTTTGCCCCCTTCCACACGTATGTCTTACCAGACTTGCCAGGGAAATTCTGCGGGTAAGGAAGTGCAGCTCTGTTAATATAAATGACATACATAAAAGTTATGGTTATGCAAAAGAGGAGATTGAAAATGAGATTTTGGGTAATGGAGGGAGAATAGGGAGAATGGAATTAGGGAAGGAAGAGAATGAAACTCTAGGGCTTTGGAAATAGAAGATACTAAAATAGACAATGTCATGCTCGCTCTAAAATGTGCTTTATCTGTATTACGGATCGTCCAATCTTGTCATGACAAATATTATTCCTCAGTCAAATTCAAATATCTGCTGAACTCTCTTTTTTTTTTTTTTTTTTTTTCGATCTTGTAAGGATCCAAGAATTAGCTCTATTCTTTTCTTATATTTTTTTCTCATGACCATAAATAGCTGTATATAGTAATAACTGGCTGACATAGAAAGTGAAGTTTTTGCGTTTCTTCTTTAGAATTATCTTAGTAGGAGGATGCTGTAATAGAGATCAATGGTCTTATAACGTCTGATCTTAGTAGAAAGTTGTCCAGCAAGAAATAAAGAAAGAGTGAGGGTGAGCTTTAATGAGATGGGTCTGGGTTATAGGGTGTATTTAGAGGGACAAAAGTGCAGTTCTTGTTGAATACCTTCTATTTAACATTGTTGGATTGAACAGGAAGACGAGAATGCCTTTGGGAAAATTGTTGGATGCATGAACAAGCACAGGAAATTCTCATAAATTGCTGTATAGTTTTTTTTTTAACCCCTCCCATCTTTCTTTCTTTTTTTATTTTTTTATTTTTTTATTATGAAAGAAGTTGTTTGGGTTCTGACAGAGTAACAGTAGATTTTGGCGTTAGCATTGAAGCGTTTTGATTTCTTTGTTATGTCAGCGTGCTGCCTGATGATGACTGGTTCAATGACATTTGTCAAGATGCAATAGAAAGATGGAGTGGAAAACCGAAAGCTGATCGAGATCTAAACAGCCCCACTGCCTCTGTCTCAGCACAATCAATTTCATCTGTCAGATCACATGGGAGTTCCTAGGCATTTGTTTCACCTTGTATATTTGATAGCTAACCGAGCTGGTAATGGATCTCTGGGCAGATTTCTGTATTCATAGTAAGGCATTTTTTTCACACTTTTTTTTACCTTTTTTTTTTAAAATCTTCTGTTGAATGTAGACAGTACACTAAATTTCTGCAGGTTGATGCCTGCATGGACATAAAGTTGGAATTCCCTTTCTCTTTAGTTTTTACAAGGGTTATTTTGGGCTGAGCGAAACATGATTGTGTAAATGTTGATTGCTTGATTTTTTTAAGGAAACCAATGAATGTATAGTTCTTTGATAATATGTTGAAATCCTGTATTCATTTAATTATAAGTATTGGAAATAAAATCGCATGAAACAGAATCAATCAATTAGTTCAACCATTTGATACTTTTGCAGATTGAGTGTCAATCATGTAATAGTTGTCTTGAACAGTGGCTGCATTCTCTGATGTACTTTGGAGAAATTTATTAAGCATCAAACTTATGTCTTGATCGCTGTGGTAGCTCTGGCACAGCATTATGCAACCATATTTTATTGTAGACAAAAAAATTCTTAGAAAAGAGGTGAATTTTTACGTTCGTTTGGTGAAAGAAAAATAAAATCAGGTGATTTTAGTGTTACAATGCCAAAATAAGTGGTTTTTATTTCAGCAAGTAACATTAGAATTATAACTTTTATCAGAATTTGATCATATATATATATATATATATATATATATATATTACAACCAAACAAGTGACTTGGGTCGCGTAAAGGAATTTCCAACCGACTTATTTCGGGCGCATGGCTGCCTAGCGCCTATTATTTGGCTTGGGTCTAAAACTCTAAATTGCAAATATAAAGTTGCTAGCTAGCTTTGCATGCTCAGCTCAATAATTCCATGCAGCCTTTTTTTTTTTTTATAAAAGATAAAAAACAAATCCATAAAGCAGTTAGAATGAAAAAGAAACCCAAATGATTTCTTGCCTTTTCTTTTCTGATCATCAAAGACATAATAAGATCTATCATAGTCTTCTTAAGGTTGGTCTTGAACAATTCCCATCACTTCTTTTGTAGAAAGTTTCAAGGGTTTCTCTATTCTATTGGGTCATGAAATTTGAGAGTTCAAATCCCTTATTCAGCATTTTTTTTTTTCATAAAAAAATGACATTCCCCTCAATTGAACTTATAAATGTGTTTTTAGATTAAAATCTTACTATTTTCAGATGAAGAAGATTAATGACATAAATTCAGGCTACACTACACCCACCTAGAGAAGAGACCGAGTCTAGAGTTAGAAACTGAAGAAACGGTAGCTAGTTAAATGTTTGGTTTTGTGAGTGACATTGGCGTCCAACAGTTGCCTCACTACATCTCTCATTGTAGGTCTTCTGCTTGGTTCTTTTTCAGTACATCTCAAAGCTACCAAGAGCACATCAATAACTTGCTCTCTGGTCCCCGATTCCACAAACTCATCCACAACCCTTGAATCAGCAATCCTCTCGATTTCTTCTAAGCGGGTGTGGCTCCAAACTGACCTTACCCACCCCACTATATCTCTCTCTTCCCCTCCCATAAATGATGGATCCAATGCCCTCTTTCCGCTTACCAGCTCAAGCAAAAGCACCCCAAAACTATACACATCCGATTCCTTGCTCCGTGTAGTTGTAAATGCATTTTCTGTCAAATCCCATATTAGTTATCCATATAATCTTTAAAAATGAAGGACAACAATAAGTGGTAATTAATTTATCAAGGTTATGTTTATGCAAATGAACAATTACCTGGAGCAATATATCCTACAGTGCCCACAACTGAGATAGATGGTTCCGAAGCAGCAGACTCATCCAGGAGCTTAGCAATTCCAAAATCAGAGATATGAGGCTCCATTTCCGAGTCCAGGAGGATGTTTTCTGGCTTGATGTCTCGATGAACTATGGCAGGATCACAGTCATAATGAAGATATTCTAATCCATGCGCCGTTCCAACTGCAATTCTATACCGGACACTCCATTTTAGGATTTGTACCGGATTTTTTGCATGTAAAACGTCATGGAGGCTCCCATTTTGCATGTACCTGTATAAGATTAAACCATAATCTTTTCTAAACCAAAAGTTTTCCAACCTCGCCAGATTTCGGTGCTTGACTTTCCCTATGGTTTGAATCTCTCTAACCATACTTAGGCTTCCTCCTTTATGCTTTGTCAGCATAATCTTTTTTACAGCAAAGTCATTCCCTGGACTCAGTGATGCCCTATAAACAACTCCATGTGCCCCTCTGCCAATCATATATCTGTCATTTAGATTCTCGGTAGCCTCCATCACTTTGTTTAGTAAGGCAGATGGGCCTTCTTTGGCACACACCTCAAGTTCTTGCTTTCTTTCTCTGCAGAAGACGAACATCAAAACCACAAGAAGCACTACCACAACTAGAGAGGAACCGAGAGCTATCATTGCAACTTCCAATTTGCGAAGACCCCTTTGACTTCTCAATCGATTATCACAACGGTTAAGATAGTTGTTTCTGGGACAAGTCCTGTCACCTGATGGAAGACAATTGATGCATAAGCTGGGATTGCCCAGGAAAGATGATGGAGATGAGTTTACAAAATTCAACAGTGTTCCTGGTATTGGACCGGAGAAGTGATTGTAAGAAATATTAACCTCAACCAAGGAATCCATTCCATCAAGAACCGTTAAAGTTCCTGTCAAATTATTATGAGATATATCCAATCTAACGAGCTTGAACACATTTCTTAGCTCTGAAGGAATTTCTCCATTCAATCCATTACTGCTCAGATTTAAGGCATAAATCAGATTCTTCATTTCTCCAATAGATGAGGGAATATTACCTCCAAAGGGATTCCCGCCAAGCTGCAGCTCTGAAAGCAGTTTAAATTCCGACAAGAAAGATGGAATGCCACCGGTGAATTGATTTTCGCTTAAAATCAGAGTGGACAAATGTTTCCAGCTCGTCAAAGCATACGGAACCAAACCATTCAGTGAATTGAACCCGACATCAAACTTTTCCAATTTGCTGCATTTTGACAGCTGAGATGGCAAAGAACCTTGTAAAAGGTTGTGAGAAATATCCAGAGTCTGAAGGTCCGCAAGGTTTCCTAACTCCAAAGGTATCAATCCTGTGAGCTGATTCATGGACAAATTTATGGAAGCGAGATTTCTACAGTTTCCCAAGCTGGATGGAATTGGACCAGTGATCTTATTTTCACTGATGTCCAAATGTGCAAGATTTGGATTTTCTGCAAATTCTGGGAGCATGCCCGTGAGATTATTCTGCTTAAGGATCAATCTCCAGAGAGTTTTACAGCCTCCAATATCAGCACTTATGCTGCCATTAAGCTGATTTTGGCCCAAATTCAGCACCCTTAATTTCTTCCTTAAGCAAAGATTTTTAGGAATTGCACCAGTGAACTTGTTGTTTGTGAAATCCAACTGCTGTAAGCTAGCATTAATTCCCAGATTTTGAGGGATAACCCCAAAGAACTGATTGTCAAATAATGAAATGTTTTTCAGTAGCTTGAGCTGAGTGATCTCTGAGGGCAACTCCCCAGTAAGATTGTTCTTATATACAAGGAGATACTCTAGGCTTGGAATCCTCCAAATGCTAATTGGAATCTCACCAGTGAAATTATTGATAAACAGTTCAAGGTCCTGCAATTCGCTTAGCATACCCAATTCACTTGGAATTTTCCCATTGAGTTGGTTGTCATACAAGAGAAGTCTTTGCAGAGATTTGCATTTCCCAAGTTCAGGTGGAATGTTACCAGACAAGTGATTTTCAGAAAGGTCAAGTTTCAAAAGCTGATCTAGTAAGCCTAAGGAAGAGGGAATATCACCTGTTAAGTTACCATGCACAACAACCAACTCTGTCAGGCTACTACAGCTGGCCAACCCAGGTGGAAGACCCCCACTAAAACTGTTGAATGACAAATCCAAAATACTCAAATTCTTGCAGTTGCTGGAACCCAAGGGAATTACCCCGTGGAGACTGTTGAGGCTAACATCTAAATAGATGAGGTTTTGGAGATTGTTAAGACTCTGAGGCAAAACTCCAACCAACTGATTCCCACTCAAATAAAGTTCTTGCAGTTTACTACAATTCCCTATAGACTCAGGAATGGTACCCGACAACCTATTATTAAATAAATATAGAACCACAACCTCACTCAAGGTGCCAAGATTCATAGGAATGAAACCACTTAAGTTGTTACCATTCAAATACACATACTCTAAACTAGTAAGATTAAACAATGATTCTGGTATTGCACCACTCAAGGAATTAGAATACAAGTTTAGGTAGCTCAGCTTTTGCAAGGAGTTGAAGCTATCAGCTATTGGTCCAGTAAATCCATTTACAGACAAATCCAAGTATTGAAGGGAAGTGCAATTGGCCAAAGCTGAAGGTATGGCAGCAGAGAAATTATTGTTGCTCAAATCAAGGGTGTGCAAACGGTTCAAGGCAGCAATTTGACGAGGCAGTTGGCCAGAAATGGCAAAACCGGTAAGGTTGAGAGTGAGTACATGGGCGGTAGAGTCACACTGAATCCCAATCCATTTGCATGGATTTGGATGAGAAGCATTCCAGGTGGAGGTTATGGAAGGAGGCAGGGATGACCAGTGGGTGAGAAGTGACAAGAGAGTTTTCCCATCAGAATTCAAACCATTAGCAGTAGTGCTTTCGTTTAAAAAGAAGCAACACAACAACAATGGTAATGAGAAGAGAAAGTTATAATTCATCATTTTTCAAAGTGTACCAAGTAACAGGAAGAGAGATTGTTACCTTTCCTAATTTCTTTCCACCAAGTTGAAGACTGCAAGTGGGTAAAAGGTGACTGAGAAAGCCCAGCCCAGCAGTAATTTGAAGCAAGCAACCCTGAAAGAAAGAAAGAAAGGTCGATCGGTCTAATGTGTATAGAATACAAGTAGCATTGAAAGAAAGGAAATGGCAGGTTCAGGTTCTTGTCTTGAGTTGATTTATTTATTAGTTATGAAAGTGAAATGATGAGCTGTATTTGTAATATATTATATAAAATGGATTAGATAGACAATGTCGGTTGGGACGACTTGAGTCAATTGGTGTGAAATGTGAATCAATCTTTCAACGCGGTTTCTGCTTCGGCGAGAAGAAATGCAGGTTTTAGTTGTAAATAAGTATAAATATTAAGCTGCTTTGCTTTATAATTTTCCTTTCGACAAAAAAAAAAAAGGAAGAAAAAACCGAGTAACAATAGTGGTCATATCGACTATTAGTTCATATGCATGTACACTCGACTAAAGCATATAATTTTTTTTTCTCAAGTATCTCTATCTTTTAACTCCCATTTCCTATTTACTTAAGCCTATTTTAGCATGTTGTTGAATGTAATTTTTGCTTTTACAAGCTGTTTTATCTAATTTTAATGTTAAATAATAAGAAAAGTGACATTTTTATTTAAAAGTTTGATTTAAAAAAAACTAAAAAGCCTCCCAAGTGCTTTTGCAAGAAAAAACGTGTGTTAGAAACTACAAATCATTACATTGTCTTTATATTTATAATATTTTATAATTCTATACATATATTTTTAAATATTTTAATTATTTATCATATTTTTATAACAATAGCAAATATTTAAAATTTTTAATCATATTTTTAAATGTATTTTTTTCTAATATGAAATTTTCTCAATTGCAATAACAATATTAAACTAAAAATAAACTCATGCATTGCCGAGGGTTGAATTTATCAAGTAATTTCATTTATAATTTTTAATAAGAGCAATTATCAGTAAAAATTTATTAATTAATTTGTGTATAATGTATTCATTTTATTTTTACACGTCAAATAACAAATCAAATTTAAATCAATTGTTACAAATTTATCTTTCAAAACGAAATAATAAAATCACTACAGGGGTTTAAATTTTTAATGATATTTTTTTTAACGTTTAGCGACGTTTATAAACACCACTAAAAGATTTGCGACGTTTGCGAAAAAGTCACTCAGAGTACCGGTTATATACGCGTCACAAAAAATAACGACGTTTATGAAAAAATGTCACCATTTTAATGGCGTTTTTTTTATCTTTCAAACGTCACTAAATTAGTTACGTTTTATGAGAAAAACACTATTGCTTTAGTGACGTTTTGATACAAAAAACACTGCTACTTTAGAGATATTTGTATCTGAAAATGTCTCTATATTAGTGGTGTTTGTATCTTTTAAACGCTACTAATTTAGTGGTATTTTTTGAGAAAAATACCGTTACTTTGGTAGTGTTTGTATAAAAAAACGTCACTTACTAGCAGCATTTGCTGGTAAGAGCACTGCTACTTTTAGTGGCGTTTTACGATACAAACGCCACTAATTATTCATTTAGGGACATTGTTAAATGCAAATGCCACCATTATGTAAAAATGTAATTTTTTTTTAAATTTCTGTTAATAACTTTTAATTTCATTAAAGAGCTTAAATTCAGAAACTGAAATTAATATAAACTTAATTCATGTTTAAATATGCATATAATTAATACAAAGTTTAATAATTAGTATAATAACATTCAAATATTTTTAATACATTAAGAAAATAAAAATTAAAATGTATGAAACGGATAACTGCATACATTTTGCTGACTACTAATTGATGAAGAAAATTTTTCACCTTGGTCACTAGCGTGCTCAAGAACCTACTGAATAATACCATACAATTTTTAACACTTCATTGTAAGCTTTTTTTATATTTAAAAATTTAAATATGTACTAAATATAATACCTGAGTTAGTAGAATCGCCAAGATCATTTTTTAAAAATTATTGTTGCACAAAATTCATAAGATGATCGAATCGATCATGCAACTGCTAAAATTTTGCACGCTGTTGCTCCATTCTAGCACATTTTCCTCAATTTTGGCACGTTTCTGTTCTTTTTTTGCTTCCATTTGTTGTATAGTTTGTAACTCCCCTCTCAATATTGAAATGTCTTGTGAAAACTGACTTGCTGAGGATGTAAATTATTGAGAGCTATATCCATAGTAGGCAGATGGTGTTGGACCCAATCCAAAGCCTCAGACCCGTCCATGCCTTTCTTTTCCAGCAACTTCTATGAATATACGATTTTTCATTTCTTGCATATTGAGAGAACCATTAGATGCTACTTCAATCTCAACAGTCATTTTCTCTTTATTTTTCTCCTGTGAATTTGTCATATACAACTATCAATTTTTTGTACTTAATTGATAATACATTAAAAAGAGTAAATGTTTACTTTTTGTTAAAATAGATGATACAAATTACCATAATTTCTTGTGTTTACATTTATGTAAGATCCATTTTTTTGTGTGTGTTATGCGAAAAAGTTTCACACATCCAATTGTACCGCCCATCTCATTCTTCTATACAAAAACATGTTATTTGATAGTATACATATCAACCAAAACTTATTCATGTATATCAAGCCTATCAATCAAGTATTAACATTTTGGATGATTTGAATCTCATGTATTTATATTTTGGCTTCGTAACAACATAATATTCTTAAACATACGCAAACAATAATAGCATTTTGGGTTTTCACCCATATCGATCATGGAAACCATATTCAATTATTTTTTCCCTGTTTAATATCAAATATTGAAGCCATTTAATATGTTGAACGCCACCCAAAAGTTTATTTTGTATATTTGCCTTTTATATGCGAAAATAGTCCTAAATAGACATAAACGATAACTTTTTCTCCCATATCAACTGTAGAAACTAAGTTCAATCAATCGGACGAGTTTAATATCAAGTATTGAAGTTATCTAAACTGTTAAATACAACAATAACAATAAATTTGTATTTTTACCTAAATACACGTAAACAATAACTTTTTCATACATATCATCTGTGTCAACTAAGTTCAAAACTTTAGATAAGTTTAATATCATGTATTGAAACTATCAAAACTATTAAAATAGAATAATAATTGTTAATTTGCATATTTACCTTTTTATGGCAAAAAAAGTTTATTCATTGGAAAAAGTTTATTATCGTAAACTTACTATTTCTTTTTGCTTTCTTGCAAAACTTTTTGATCCACTTGTATGGCTATATTTCTATTTCTTTTTGCTATCAATCCTAATCTGTTCTCTTTCCTGTCATAAAAAATAATTGCGTATATGATAGAAATTCAAATATTACCAAGTTAAACCATAAAACACTTTCATCATTTCATTCTACTATACAAGGTTATAAACTAGTACCTCTCCTTTTCTTGAGAACCAAAATCTAACTAATTGTTCATATTACCACCTAATCACATTACGGGGTAGATTTTTCATCATCGCCTCTACCGAAGTATTTCGATCAAAATACTTATTCTTAAACTATGCTTATAATCTTTTCACTTCTTTCCCAATGACTTAAGCACAAATGAAGTTGATATTTCAGTACAAATCTTGACTGTAATAATACAATAAGAAAGGTTAGAATAAGTAAACAAAATGTTAAATAAAAAAAATTTTATTTCTAATTAATTATACTAATACCTCAATAAAGTTTAAAGTATTGGCCTTAACTTCTTCTGGAACTTTATGCTATGTTTCATAATGAATAGGTAATTTCATTCCATTACGGGCTAGCATGCCTAGAAATTCAGCCAACAATTGAGCCTTAGCACCAATTGGTTGCCTATAAGAGTTTACAGATACTACAATACACTCGTTAGGAGGTAGTGCAAACAATTTCTTCAAAGTTGTTCGACCTCTGGTCCTTCGTTGACCATTATTATCAATTGCAACAAATAAAAAATAAATTTGTAAAGTCGCAATACTTTTATCATTGTACTCGAATTCTAAAATTGGAGTATATCATACCTGCATTCAAATTTAAAGCATAATCAATTGATAGAATACTATCTAAACTTGGACCTCTCGTATTGCCAGATCTAATATCAATTGAAGGATTAGAAGTGACAGAGTTAGATCTGACGGTACGTTCATTTTCTTCAAAGATTCAATCCATTGCCAATAACTACAGGTGTCGCAGACGATTTTAAACTAATATTTCTGATATGTTTTCCTTTCAACCTACTCTTCCGTATTGTAGCTTACCTACATCATAAAAGTGAATATAGAAAAGATATTAATTTAGAATATATATAAAGCCACTGAGAAGTTAAGAAATCAAAACCTACGATATATAAAGAACATATCAATTTAATTAAATCAAAAGATAACGTATGATTTAGAATACAATAATTATACAATAGCGAATGTGACATTAATTACATAGAATCATTTACTACATTATGTCTTAAATACTCGAATTACAAATTATAGATGCACCATTTCATGGTTTATAAATATCTTCATTAACATTTTTGTGGACCCACTGAGCATAGGTACTAGAGATATTTTCATCCAAGTTTTGTTAAGCAAAAAGATAACATTTAGTTTCATGTTCAACATCATCTCTGGTATTTAACCTCATATCAAATAAGTCTCTAAGTGTGTTTCGAAGAACAACAAACCAATCCAATTCTTTGGGATCTTCAAAGTAAAATACTTGTTTGACTTGAGATGAAAATGTTACGCCTGAAGCAATAATCACAACAATACAGAAATAATATATCACAATAAACCCACAGCAATAGATAACAATCAATAATAAAAAATATAAAAAAATAAAACACACCAAGATTTACATGAAAAATCCTCTAGTGTAAAAAGAAAAATCATAGACTACTAGAAAAATCTCCACTATCAAATAATGGATATATAAAATTCTTCTCTAGCTAAAACTAGAGCTAATCAACAATTAGAGAGACAATTGGAGAAATCTCACCAAATAGGTGACTCAACAAATATACCATGGATTTATTTCTAGAGAGCTTCAAACCTGATCTACACCGTTCAAAATGTAGAACTCTGAATCATGAACCTGCTGACAAAGTTTTAACTCAATCGGATCACGGATCGACTTCCGTTCAACAACTCTTTTTTTTTTTTCTCTTTACTTTTCCTGGCTTTTCTTTTTTCTC